AAAAGAAGGATCATACTAGCCTCTCCAAGGACTGTTGAATAGTAACCAACTAACCATAGAATAATGGCTACAAAGAGGATTCAGGATACATTTTTATGGCATAAAATAAAAACAAATGTTAGTTAATTAAAATTACATACCTGAGGAATTCAGTGCAGCAGTAACAGATGCAGTGTCGGAGTACATAGGAAAAACTACATTCCCACTCCCTGTTGTTTTCTGTAGCCTTTGCTGGTCCGACTGCATCATATCAAGCTTCCTCTTAACTGCTTGGCTCTTTTCCTAAGGGACGGAGAAAAAAAATGATGGTCCAAGAAAAAAAAAAAAAAAAAAAAAAAAAAAAGAAGAAAGAAATTTAAGAAGAAAGAAGCTTGAGGATTGATGCAGATCCCACAACATATGATACCAACTAAAGCAAATGTTAATTCTTTCACATCTACTTGATAAGCAATTGGCACACTAATATCTGGATGAGAAGCAACGCTTGAAACTTAAATAAAGCAATATAGCAAAAGAAAATTACACATAATCATCAACAGTCCTCAAAATCCAAGATTTATGGTATCTTCCTTTAACATGGACTAAAAAGCATTTAGTGCAGCTATGAAACCAAAAATTAGCAATGACCATTGTGACCAACGAATGCCATCTAATTACAGTGTAAAAATATATTATGACCTAGACAGGAATCCTAAGAAACGGATAATGCAGCAAAAGATATATTATGACATAAACTAATATACCTTTTCTGCAGAAATCATTTGGGTCAATTGACAGCAGCGCTCTTGCTCTGGATAAACATTCAAACCAACTGTTTAATGAAAGTTGCACAGAATTGTAGACATGAAGTTGACAGGAAAGCATGAAGGCAAAAAAAATTCAAGATTATCATAGCAATATAGCATTGCAATGCATACTTCTCAACCAAAAAACAAAATACTAAGTAAAAATCAATATGAAAATTTCACCTATCCGTTCCAATGAGATGGATAAAACATGCCATCTTTATTATATACTTCATTTTCGTAGTTCGGTACTACTTGTCTACGTGCTTTAATTTAGGGTCTACATAGAATTACCTATCTGCTATCTCCAATAGTCCAATTACAGCAGAGGTGAAGTTTCACAAAGGCACAAAGTTATCTCCCAGCTTTGCTCGAGAAAGACACTTATGGGAAATTGGAATCAAAATGACAAAGAAAGTCATTTAAAAACTTGATGCAAGAGATACTTCCTCTTGCAAAGATAGAAAGAGAAACGGAAGATGAAATCTCACTATATACACAGATAATACCATTTTTTCATGGATAATATGTCACCAATCCTATAAGATTCTTTGTTCGTGTGGGGGGGGGGGGGGGGTTGAGGCTCTGTGGTTCATTTAGATGTTATTTAGAAGTTATTTGAATTCATAGCTTTACAAGCGTAGAATACAACTTACAGTAGAGAAAACAATTTCTCAATGCAGATTTTAACTCAGCTCAGAATAGACGAAAACAATGCTCATTCAACCTGCATACTACAGGTATGGGGCCAAGCCGGCCAACACCAACTAGCTTCAAGCAGCTTTGTCAGGCATCTAATACACACAAAAAAAAAAATGTTCATGACTATTTGTCTGTCTTTTCTTTACTGATTAGACGTTGCAAATTTCGGGAGAAAATTTCTTTCTCCTCACTTTGATTCAGAATTTTAGCATCACAAGTTTATCTTTGATTCCAATGCGAAGTTCACCCAAAGGCTAGAACTGAAGTATGATTCCTCAGGTTTATATTCTGAGATGTATTAACAGTCACATTATAATGAGCTTCTTATTGTGACAAAGGCTGGGTTAAGTGTCTAAAATATTAATAACTTTTAGTCAATGTCAGTACATGTAATAATGTTGTAAATGGCACTTCAATCTGCCGAAGTATTCTAAGTTAATACCTTTCCTATATTGGTCATCATGCCAAAATAAGTGAAGTAGACTAGCAAGTAGACTAGAAAAGGAAGTATAGCAAATGGAAGCAGGAAAAACCTTTTACAAAAGATTCTTGCAGGATATTGTATGCCCTGTAGAGCTCCAATGACATATTTGCCACAGCTCCACTTGCAGAAGAAGGTCCAAGCTTAGTAAGTGAAATAGATATTAAGGGCATTCCTTTAGTTTTACGAGCAATCAATTTTGCAGATGTAACCCCTACAACAAAGTAAAAATTGACAATATATTAGATTTTTGCAACTTGAGTCAAGATCAAAAGTTATAAGCAGATATGGAGCATGAAACAGATGCCGGATCACACATAGATTTTTTTTATTTTTTTTAATGATGATCACACATAGATATATCATCATAAATCACATAGTAAGAAAAATCGGTCAATTCTGGGGAAAAAATCAAGCTAGCTGACAACAATCTTATGAAAAATAGAAACATCATGGAAAAATGCTATTGACATAACAAAGACATCAAGTTATTGACTTCTTGTCAGCATCATAAGTTCAGAGCCCAAGAAAGTTGGTAAGGCACAATCCACAAAAACTCGACAAAAAAAAAATATAATCAAGAGAACAATTCAAAAAACATTTACGAAGGAGAAAGTGGTAGGCTTGTAAAAGGATCAAAGGAACAGAAAGCAGAAGGAATTTTTTTAATTTAAAACATCATTATTATGGGCAGTTCAACAGATAAGTTAGTGCTTCAGCAACTCACTGAGTGTTTCTTTATAACAAAAGGAAAAAATAAAATAAAGGAGCCATGCTGAAACAGATTGTTTTTTTAGGTAAAAAAAAAATACCACTTAATTTAGGCTGCCAATCCATAATAAGCTTCACATCTTTTGATGTAAAAGAAGCAATTACATAATTCATAAAGTCAGAGCAGGAACCACCGATGCCTATGCTATCTCTCTGCACAAAGATAAACCAAGTTAACATGAATAATTAAAAAGTAAAAATATCATGAAGGGCATTAAGCTTTAATCCATGTACTCATATGCCAAATCTCACACTATCTGGAGGAATCAGAACTGCAACTATAAAAAATCCTCTATCCACATGCTATATTCAAATAATATACTATAAACTTTTCTACTCTCGGACCAGGACGAAAGGTCGTAAAGATTAGGAATGAGAGAAGATCTAAAATGAATACGACAAAGTTTTAAGGATTTATTATCCCTATAACTGCCCTAATATGTGCAAGTGGAATATTGAACCAAAGTACTACCAATAACAGTGAAACCTGCAAGAAACACAAGAATAAACAATAGTGGCAAATTACCACCTCAAATATTTAGTCATACCAAACTGCTTCCTTAATATTCACCGAAAACAACCCATTAACCAAGGCTTCCCTTCTAAGGATCATATTATTTGCAACATTTAATACAATGAACGTATCCTATTATTTGCAACACATGTTTTCTCTCCCAAAGTTGTCATTTCTTTCTATCTCTCTCCTCATCACATGCATCACTATCTTTCTCTCTTCATTTAACACCCACAAATAAATTTTGCCTAGGAGTCCATGCAACCCTCCAAAATTGCAAATAATAAGAGACAGAGGTAGTATATCTTTATAGACTTGTTTTCTTGATTCATCAATGTCCATCTCATAATATGTCTTTCTAAACTATGGCTCACATACTCAATGGTAAGATATTGAAGTACCACCAAAACATTTTATTTGCCAATTTTCTAGCCCTAACAGTATACTAAATACATATAAAACCCTTAATTCACTAAATAAATAATTCGCCCGATATCTGGTGAAATTAATACCAAAATAAACATTTTGGAACCAATTTGCCTTACAACAAATGATATAACTTGCTACAATTATAAGTTAAGAGGGTTAATTCAACACTGCAACAAACTAAATGGAACAATGCGATACTTATACTTCAGTGTTTTAATTATAGCATTTGAACAACATTAAAAATATACAGGCATATGGAATTCTGAAAAACGCCCCCAAAATTGTCAACTATACATACAATGATCAATGGACATGATTATAGAACCCATTTCTTGAATCCACCTCATCACAACAGGGTTTTTTAGGGTTTCATCCAAAAAATAGCTATAAAATTACCCAGAAAACTACCACAAGTCCACAAGTATTAACATGTATATGAAATTCTGAAAAAAGCCCCCAAAATGCCAAATTTCACATACATCGATCAAGGACATGATATTAGAACCCATTTCTTAAACCCCATCTCATCACAGTAGGTTTTTTTACTTTTTGGGGTTTGATTATAAAAAATAAAAAAAATAAAAAAAAAAAAAAAAAAAAAAAAAAGTTAAAAGTACCCAGAAAAATTCCACAAATTTGGATTTTTTGCAGCTAAATTTCTGAAAATAAGGAAGAAAAAGAATTTATACCATGTCATCGAGTTGGTGAACAGAGCGAAGAGCCTCCCAAGTGTAGGAACGAAAATCAGTGACATGAAAAGCGAGGTGAGAGGAGTCAACTGCAAAAACCCTGAACAAAAATGGGTTCAACGCCGTAACTCCATCGCCATTAGAGGTAGCAGAAGTTACAAACTCTGGTTTTGCTTCGCCGAAAATGGGTTGAAATTCTTCCAAATCAAACCCCATTTTCATGTATTGGTCCTCGAACCCGTTGCCTTAGTAGTATATATTGTCTTTTGAATTTTGAAGGGAAGAGGGTGTCAGGGTGTGGGGGATTTTTTTGTGTGGCTCCACTTCACGTGATCGAATTACTTGAGTTATTCAGTTAGAGATTACTCGAGCTAGCTTAACCGAGTAATCCCTGAACGAGTAATCCGCTGAATAACTCTTAACCGAGTAACCTCTCAAGTAACCCCTAACTGAACCCCCCAAGTAAACCCTGACCAAGTAACTCGAGTAACCCCCGCCACACGGTGTGACCAGCCACATACAAAAATTTGCCAAGAAACAATTCTAGTATTCCATCTTAGATAAAAATCTTTCCTTTTATAGACTATTCCGTGTTTAGATAATTCTCGACCCAAGTTCGACTTTTGAAATTAAAAGTTATTGAAATTTATATATATTATTGAAATAGTATAAATCTATGGTCAATCATAATACAGAGTATAAAAATTTGATGTGTGGGAATTAGAGTTTGAGGATTATACAATTGGATTAGGATTGAAAATTGATTGGTGGGAATTGGGAATTCATAGAATACGGAGTATGATTCAATCAACAAAAAAAAATTATCACAACACAAGTTCAGGCTAGCAGGTTAGCAACATAGCATGCCCTACAAAAACTCGGCTTGAGACGCTCACCTTTAGCATCTACGAGAAATTTTAAAAAGAAACTACGGAGTACCGAGTATTCGAGTAACAAAAACGTTCTTGCCCTCTTTAAGAAAACATTGTCGGCCAAAAAAAAAAAAAAAAAAAAAAAAAAAGAGCAAATTCATGCAAATCAGCCGCGCTAAATCAAAGAAATCAAACCCAAATCTTCTGTCACTTAGCTCAGTGAAGATGCGGAATGTCAGAGTTTCATCCAAGAAATCATCTTTGTTAACTCGCACTCTCTATATAATCCTTCTTTTTGCTATATCCATTTTCTTTTTTCTCCTATATTCTAAGGATGTTTTAGAAGATGAACAAAACCCACTTTTTTATAATGATTTTCAGTCTAATTCTAACCCTCATCATCAGTCTGAGCAGGTAAAATTGATTCTTATTACATGGGTAATCCCCAATTTCAATTAATTTGATATTGTTCTGTGTTCTTGAGTTTTTTTTTTTTTTTTTTTTGTAATTACAAATTTCTGCCTTTCTGGGGTTGTTTTGCCTTGTGATTCTATGTATGAATGTTGATTTTGTTTCATTTATCATTATTATTTTTATTGGGGTTTGGGAGATGATTAGATGTGATGAAGTTTGATCAATTTGCTGTAAATCTGTGTAGATTGTCTATGTTATGGAGAGAGAAATGGTTGTATGAAAGAAGATGTTTATTGAAGTTGGAAATTTAGGTGGGATAAAAAAGTTGATGAATGTACCTATAAAATATCTGTTACTTGTGCTCTAGATTGAGATTAAAATGATACTGAAGAACAATCAACTGTTTTGTTTGAGTAATCTGACATTGCTTCTATCTTTAGATAAGGAGTCCTGTGCACTTTGTTGATGAGCAATTACGGGCTTCAACGTTCAGCCGTGACCTGCGTCCTTGTGTCAAGCCTACTGCTAGATACAAAGGTTAAATGTTTTGCAGCCATTCTTGCTTTTCTTGAAGAAAGTAATAGTGGGATTATTATAACAGAAATTCTTAATTGCTACTGAAAAGTTATTGATCTTGATCGCTATCGTATCAATGTTTGCTAATGGGATATTTCCTTGACTACTTATCAAAGAGTAATAATATACTCACTAACTTGGTTCTGTATTTTCATATATGGTCAGTTGCTCAGGAATCTAACAGATATTTGACTGTAAAGAGTAATGGAGGGCTAAATCAAATGCGTACTGGTGTAAGTTACTTTGGCTTTTTTCTCTTTCGATTTGTATAAGTTTGTACAGCGGCTTCATTGAATTGATTTGCCAAAGTAAGATTCTGGCAATAAATTATTAGAATTAGGTTTTAATCCTTCTGGAAAGAAATTACTTGTAGTATTTCAACTAGAAAAAGAATGCAATTTACCCAAACGTGTGCTAGTTGATACATGCTTGAAAACTTAAATTCTAGTTTATGCGTATTTGAAGTATACATGTGTGAGTTTACATGCATTTTATGTAATGATGTATACCTGATTCTGGCCTATATATTTGAATGTCCATATATGCACATATAGTGATATAGCAATGTTGTTGAATATCCACACATTTAAGCAATGCTTTTACTCGGTTGCAGATTTACTCCTGTACCTTTTCTTGTTATTGATTTTGATGTAAATGAAGCAAACTTCCAATCAGTGAAGTTTGAACTGTACTGAATCATAAGATTCATAACCTAATCATTAAATTGGGAAAATTGCTTTCTTACCTATGTTGTATTTGTTTGCCTTTTTTCTTTTTCTTTTTCTTTTCATTGTTGTAATAAAATACTCGTTCCTAGATTGCTGATATGGTGGCTGTGGCACGCCTTATGAATGCAACCCTGGTGATTCCCAATCTGGATAAACGTTCATTTTGGCAGGATTCAAGGTCTCTTTGGCAATCCTTTGTAAAAGCTCTTCTTTGTTTATGCTCTGAGGTTTCTTACCATATTTTAGTTTTCTTGATCAGTGTGTTTGGGGACATATTTGATGAGCTCTATTTCATGAGAAGCTTGCGTCAGGATGTAAGAATTGTGAAGGAACTTCCTAAACAGCTGGAATCTGCACCTCGAGCCCGCAAACACTTTGGTTCCTGGTCAGGGATGAGCTATTATGAGAATATGACACATTTGTGGAGGGAATATCAGGTAGGCCTTTTTAATTATTTATAGCAATTGTTTTTTTGCGGTACTTGGATGAGCAATTCTGTTTCCATATTCTGAACTTTGGAGAGGAAAAAAATTTGATCTTGAGTTAAGCAAACCAGTGTAAAGCATCTGGATGGTGTTTTCCGAAAGTATAATGGAATTTGACTTGTCTAGTCATGATATTCAGGTGATTCATGTTGCAAAATCAGATTCTCGGCTTGCAAATAATGATCTGCCTCTTGACATTCAAAGGCTCCGATGTCGTGCTCTATACCATGCTTTACATTTCTCTCCTCCTATTGAACATTTGGGCAAGGTGAATTTCTACATCTACTTTGCCATCAAAAGAACTTCTAATATTTGCAAGAGCTTTCCATGTTTTCAGTGTTTCGTTTAGAATGATTTCAAGAGGCACATTATGGGGCATGTTTTAAATTAGGTTCTGACTTCATGGCAGTGACACCACAGAGACTAGTGGAGCGGCTGAGGTCACGTGGGGGTCAGTACATTGCTCTTCATCTTAGATATGAGAAGGACATGCTTGCTTTTACTGGGTGTACCTATGGTCTTTCTGATGCAGAATCTGAGGAGTTGAGAATTATGAGGTACTGATATTTATATTTGTGTAACACCAAAAGTATATGTAGCGTATGCTTCAAAGTCAAAATCTACTGCGATAAATGCTTAGAAGCACTTGTGGTTCGTAGTGAATGGAGCTTTAGTTGCAAGACAAGGACAGACAAAATATAGGCTTTCCCTAATTGCTGCCTAATAAGCAGTCATCTACAAAAAAGCAACGTAATAGACATAATCTACATGAACCGATTTGTAGAACTTGATTAGGTTTGGAGGGATACAAAACTGAATAGAAAAATTTCTTGTCAACTGATGTTTGTGGCGTATCCCCCACCGCTATTACATGGAAGATTTAACAGCCTCCCATGTTTTTTTTACATAACTAACTGATGCTTCTCTGCCCAAAATTGTCAGGGAGAACACACACCACTGGAAAATAAAGAAAATAAACTCCACAGAGCAGAGGAATGCAGGCCTTTGTCCACTTACACCCAGGGAGGTTGGGATCTTTATTAAGGCTCTTGGTTATCCTCTGTCAACATTAATTTATATTGCTGCTGGAGAAATTTATGGTGGTGCTGAGCGACTGTCTGAGCTGACTTTGCGATTTCCTAATGTGATTTTTAAGGTATGCGCTAAAATTACATGCCTTTCCTTGGTAATTGACCCCTGCATTTTTAGGACATTTGCAGAAAAGTTATCTTGGATTCCGTCATTAACTAATTCTTTGTTGGCAGGAAACGCTGGCTACCCAAGATGAATTAGGAGCTTTTTCCCATCATGCTACTCAAGCTGCTGCTATTGATTATATCATTTCTGTGGAGAGTGATGTGTTCATTTCTTCTCATTCAGGGAATATGGCAAGAGCAGTTGAGGGTCATAGGCGGTTTCTGGAGCACAGAAAGACAATTACGCCTGACAGGTAATGGGCTGCTGGTTTGAGATACCAATGTGTCTTTATCTGTCCTTAATGCTTGTGATGGAGTTCATTGTTTTTTTGCGAAGAATCAAACCATAAGATCGTTTACTAAGTTATCCTGAAACTAGAACCATTTTTCCAAATAAAAATTCCAGTTACTAGAACCAAAATTTATCAGAAGATTTGGTTTGAAGCTAGAGAAGCTCTATTGTTTCTCTGGTTGGTTGGGGTGTATCGTCTCAGTTGTTTTGTTTAAGTAACGACTATTGAAACATAAAGAAGTTGCAGTTCCTCAAGTTTGCCTCTCATGTTGGTGGTCAAAAGCATTTTTTTTTTAATGTCAATAACTATTCTGTTTTTTGGGGTCAAAACTAAAAAGATTGTAAACAATAGTCTTCCGTCCTTCACTTTGGTGGTAGGTCCCTTGGATTGACATTTTTCTAGGGAGGAGGTGGTTGCTGTCTTGAAGGTTTAGGTTGGAGATTTGGGAGTGAGAAGGAGTTTCTCTATCTATTTGCAAAAGTGGATGATACGATTCATTTCTGCATACAGCTGTCACTCTGTCAGGAGGTCTGAATCCTATGTATATCTTATCAATGTCAAGCCGTAGCTTATAGAGTCTGAAAGAATAAACTTGATTCGAATAGTATCATATTTGACTTTTTTGGTTAAAAACCTGAATAACTTGGACCACTTTTAAGTCAATAGGTTATTTAAAAACCTAAGTAATGATAATTTTATGGAAAAATGGAAGCACCTTCAAACAATGTATTGATAAAATCATATAACATAATTTTCTGACAAAATTTGGTGTTTTAAGTCTTGTGCGATAAAGGGATCCCTTGTGATTTTTATGTTTGTTTGATGTTAAAGCAAATAATATAAGATATCCTCTGCAACTGCATAGATTTTGCTTTAGATAACAAACCGAGTGATCAGTAGTGCACTACGTTCTATCTTGTGTATTTGTGTTTTAATTTTGTTATTGTTTGTAATATTATATGTTGACCTGTTTTCTGCAGGAAGGGTCTAATTGAAGTATTCGATAAGTTAGATTCTGGACAACTACAGGAAGGGCCGTACGTATCCAATATTGTCAAAAAGATGCATAGGAATAGGTAAGAGTAGAAGAGCTATACTTCAATTGTGTTTAGGAAGTGTAGGTCATTAGCCATGCATTCAGCATTAGTTTCTCCTTGCAACATAATTTCATATATCGCGCCATATTGGTAAGTGTCACACTCTCATTCTCTTTGACATTACAGGCAAGGGGCTCCAAGGAAAAGGAGTGGCCCTCCACCAGGAATTAAGGGCAGAGCACGATTCAGGTTTGAAGAATCATTTTATCAGAATCCGTACCCAGAATGCATATGCAAGTCATAGGATCATTTGCTGCAACTTGAACATGAATTCTTTTCTGTGAATCTGCTGGTGGTTTTGATTACTCCAGAGCATTTTTTGGGGCATGGCTTGACTTTATCACGATTCACAAATGTGCAAAAATGAGCTAGGATATGATTGTTACTTACCCTTTGTTGATTAAGTTTTTTTTTTTTTTTTTTTTTTAATTTTTATAAAACGATATCTTTTTACTACAATTTTGTTATCATCCCTTTTGTTAATTCTTTTTGTTTCATTACATCATTTAGAACTCTGAATTGGGTTAATGTTGTATATTTTACATTCTGATTACGGCATCAATCAAGAGTCCGATAACATCTACTGCGTAAATTAAGAGATAAAATGCTAACATTATTAACATCAGAACTCAAGCTTTCAGTCATCAGAACTCTCCTACTAATTCTCATTATACCAATCTCATCAATTTGATGTTTAATCCATGTACTAAAAATACATTTGTATATTCGTTAATCAAATGGACTATTGAGTGTTTCTTTTAACAAAAGAATTAAAAAAAGTTTCCTATGCTGAAACAGAAGAAAAGGAGACACTGCATTACCATCTTAACATCTTTGATTCTAAAGAAGCAGTTACATAATTCATGAAGTCAGAGCAAGAACCGCCAATGCCTAATTGCCTTTGCTATCTCTCTGCACACAAATAAAACAAGGTAACATGAATAATGAAGTGTAACGTTCAAAAATTTAGGCACTAAACTTTATTACTTTAATCCAAGTAAACTCATATGCCGAATCTCAGACAATTTGGAGGAATCATCAAATTACCAGCAGTATAACAATCAAGTTAGAATCTATTGGATGCCCGAGCTGTGATAGTTCTAAGCCTTGAAGAGATTTTAGCAGCAGGGGAGCCCATAATAAGGCGACATATACAGTCTGTTGCAATTTTGATAGCATCATGAGAACCCACAATGTGAATCTTGTTAGCAGCAACTACAAGCCTAGTTTTAGTAGCATTTTCAATCATGAATTTGGTCTTGCCACCTTTCCCACAAATCCTTCCAATGGCTCGGGTCAAGTGATCCCCCTTAAGTGTACGCTTGACATCCAGCATATCGATTGTAGACATATGAAAATGATCATACTTGAGAAAAACATCCCTAACTTGCTCAGGTTCAAAGCCTAACATGAAAGCTTGAACATAGCTAGCACACTTCTAAAGGTTGCTAATGTCTGGGGTGTCAGGCATAGTCTTAAGTTCAACCTGCTTCGCCTTAAGGTTCATGCGGATGTCAATTTTCATCTCATTGCGAATGGGCTCGTAAATTTGGCTTTTCCATGCTTTTACAAGTGGTGTGCGACGGTGTGGTGGTGCAGGCACAAAGCAGAACTGAAGTTCAACACTATCTGAGATTTCCTGAGGCTGAATGGCCTCAAATTTTGGCTTCCTTGCCAATTCCATATTTCGAAAAAAAATGATCAATCTATACAACTAAAGAGCATAAAACCATGAACAACAATCAGGCATTGAATTAAACCATGAACAACCAAGAACTTCGTGTTCTGCTACAAGTATTATGAAACATTATACTACCTTTGTTTCTTATTAATTGCAACAAAGGGTATTATTTGTGAGACATACAAAATTACTTTGTATAATAATAAACGGAGGTAACATTATACAATAATATTCTGGAAAAATCCCTCCAAAAACTCATTATTTTGGCTACTTTCACAATAATCACAAAGGCGACAAAAAATTATATTAAAAAAACATCACTTTAAAATACAACTAAAATTGTTTGCTTGGCCTTAACCCCCTAAGATAATCACATTGTTCATTTCAACTTTCGAAGAATATCATATTTATAATTCATTAATTTCGTTCTAACTTTAATTAAAGGGTTCTTCAACACATTAGCAACCAAAATCTAACTCAATTATCAAATTAAATTCTTCTCGCTTAAGAAATAAGAATATGAACAACAAAATACTAACATTAAAATATAACCAATATATAGTTCGATAATCAATCCACCTTTGAAGAACCCTGAATGAATTTAATTGTTGACGATTAACGCTATATTGTGAAATTGATATTTGACGATTAAATAAATAATGTTACCTTTGAAGCTGCTTCAACACAATGAAGAGAAAACTTTGGTTCTTCTGTATTTTCTGTGTTTTCACTGTGTTGCCTAGAGACTGCCCAATAGTCAATACTTATGCATAGTCATTAAGGGGTTAAATAGTCATTAAGGATTATATAGTCATTTTAGTTATTCCCATTCTGTAAAATACAGTATTTGAAGATAATTATCTTTGTTTCCCCTTGCTAGTCTCTGTTTCCCAGCTAAGTGTTAATTAAGTCGACATTAGGGCTAGTCAAGCACAACACATCAATGGTCTGATCCAGTACGAACACACTGCAAGTTTGGCACGGTATCACAGGCACGCTTATTCTAAAAATAAATAAATTAAAGGAGCTTGTATCATGACGTGATATGTGAGTCAAGCATAATTAAATTTGATTTATGAAATATGAGCATAAACCTAATATAACACGACTTTTTCTTAGCTCATGGAGTAACCTATTTAGAAATATCAAATAAGTTGGCGATATTTGGATTTAGCTTACTAGCCTTCAAGGATCTCAATTTTATACGTTCAACTAGGTTAGTTTCCGTGCCATGCACGGTGATTTTCAAATAATCATGATTTAACTATCTTATAATTAGCTTTTTATAAAAAAAAAATTAAAAAAAAAAATTAATTAATTAAATTCTAAAAACATAGTTGACAAATTTTGATCAAAATGAATGATTACGAAAGATATGTTAGATATAAAATGATGTAAAATTTGATCAAAATTATGTTAAGAAAATTTTTTATAGCAATGTTTGTGTTAAAGATATGTCAAAAAATCTTTCTTTTTTTTTTCTTTCTTTTCTTTTCTTCATGTCAAATCTTTTTAATTTTAAGTAATTATATTGTATAAGATTATGGATTGTGGGCTGGGTAGGTGGTTTTGGGGGGTCGGCGGTGGGACAGGTGGGGTGCTAAAGGGCCGACCGACCAATTTTTGGTGGTTAAGGGGGTGACCAGCCGTTTTCTAGCAAGGTAAGGGGAGGGGTTAGGGTTTTGCGGTGGTGGAAAGGTGGCTGAGGAAATTTGGGTTTTTTCTTAAATTTTTGGGCCAATCACGTGTTGACACGTTGGCTATCCAAAAAAAATAAAAATAAAAACTCTTTCAGCAGGTTACCGGTCATTGGGACTACTTTAGGCAAACATACCCAATAGTTAGGATTATTAGATAATAAACCTTAGTTGAGATTATTAAAAGTAAATCGCCCATAATTGGGATTATTAAAGTGTATTTTTCCTTTTTTTTATAAGATTTGTTTCTTTAATAGAATTTAATTAAAAAAAAAAAGACACACCAAGGGATGACATGTGTCATCACTGGTGTATCTTTTAGTATATAGCTAGTTTAAGACCCGTGTCATGCACGTTTATTACTATAATAAAACTTAATTCATTATTATCATTAACATAACAATAATTTATACATCCACTTTATGTATAAGAAACTTAGATATGGCGCGGTGTTATAAAATTTCAATTTTATAATAAATTATTACCTATAGTTTTTTAGGGTTTTTTTTTTAACGGAAAAATATATCAGTTTGATGTATAATATTAGGTAAAAAAGATATTTTTATATTGTTAATAAGTTAGATAATAAAATATATACGTCTTTTTTTCATTGATAAGTAGTTAATAAAAATGACAAAGAATAAAATGAAAAATGTGGATCGGAGTAAAGATGATTATTATGATTTTTTTTTTTGTAAAGGGCTTTGGCTTTGGTAGTAACCTGTGTTATTTTTAAATAGGAAGTAACCTGAGTTATTTTTTATTTGTTTCCGATTTATTATAGCAGTATAAAATATGGGTTAAAGTATCAAAAACGTGTAAATATATTTTTACACTTAATAAGTCAATTTGAAAAGAAAAAAAAACGTGGATTTAAGAAATTTTTATAATGCTAATACGTATCATACTACTATTTATTAATGAATTGATTTATGTTATTTTTTAAAGCAAAAAAATCATTTATATTATTATTAAAGTATCTAAATTAAAATATATTATTTAGTTTATTTTAATATGTCAAATAGATGTATAAATGGTAACTAAAATATTCTTTATGCTTATTAAGTCAGATAATAATTTTTTTTTGCAAGTAAAGATATTTTTCATTGACGAGTGGTACTTAAAAAGAATTGAGAATGAAAATAAAAACGGAGTCCATAAACACTTTAACTTTGATCTAGCATGAACAACGGGTTTTTGTAACATCATCGCACTTCCTGTCAGGACAGGAGGCCAAAAGTAGGTGTTTACAGATATCCCTTTCTCACAAGTTTCATCAACTTCATTGCAGAAATAATCCCAATACCTTTTGGTTCCCCAAAATGTCTATAAAACACAGTCTTTCCCAAAGGACTACTTAAATTAACCTTCTGTACCTCACAATCAATTTTAGTTTTATAAGTAGCCAACCAGTCCATTCCCAAAATAACATCAAGGTCACCTAACTCAAATTTTATAAAATCAGATGGAAAATCAGTCTCTCCAATCCTCAAAGGTAAACCCTTATGTATCTTGGTGCACTTTACAACTTCACCAGTAGGTAAACTAATAGGCAAGTCAATCGAGTTCGGTTCAACTAGTCCTAATTGTTTCACAATAAAGATAGAAATAAAAGAATAGGTGGCTCCTGAATCAAACAAAGCTTTAATAGAAATAGAATGAATAGAAAAGTTACTAGTGACAACATTAGAAGACCTTTCAGCTTCCTTCTTGCTCATTACAGACAAACGACCTGGAGTGACATTCTTTCCGTGATTCCCGGAGTTGTTGTTTCCAACATTACCGTTCTTTGCATTCCCATTATGACCATTCGAATTCCCTCCTTGATTACTCGTTGGAGTAAACTTGTTCTCATTCCCTTGTTGCTTCAGTTTGGAGAAACACTCAAACTCTCTAAGACCCTTCTTGTGATAGAACCTACACACAACCAAGTTCCCATCACAATCCTTTCTAGGATGATCCTTGCCACACCTCTTGCAGTTGAAATGCCTCTCAGCTTGGCCAGTAGTTCTAGATGATCCTCCATTATTCTGAAAATTTCTATTATGGAAATTCTCATTCCTTGGCTTCTTAAAGTTACCTTGGTGACTCGAATTCCCAAAATCCATTCGCTTTTCTCCAACATTT